ACATAACTAACAACGCTTCTCATTCAGGTAGTCTAGGAGTAATTTTTGCTCTTTATGTAGGCTGCTACTATACTCCTTTATCTCTTTTAAAAAAAGGAAGTCGCACTTTGGATAAAGCTGTAAGTTTTCTCATATACTTCCTAAATCAAAAGACTAATGCGGACCACCTCAATTATTTTTCTAAATTAGAACACTCTTTATTTAAGGATGTTATGGTATGTCTTTTGGACTTATATATCTTTTTAATAATCGCTCACATACCTGTTTATCATTTTTTAGGACTAACGGTACGCCTGTTTTATGATGTACGGTCAAAGTAAGGTTGAGATTACTCTAAATCGCTTCTTTGTGTTTCTAATTTTGTTTTTTAGAGGATCAATACATTCATACGAAGCACTCTTTCTTGGTTTTATGTTTCGTTCGATGTCGGGTGCAAAAGACTGTAAACTTATTTAAATGTGTATTAGTGCCCTATTTATGGTTATGCCGTCTTTAAGAACGAATGTCGAAAAAGACTCTTTTCCTTATCATCATAAAAGATATTTCTGCTTCTCCATAGCCATTGTATATACGATAATAAAATCTGTTTAATAATTTATCTTGTACTTTATATAAAATGATGACTGAATGATAATAAATCTAAAAACCATTGGTTGTTATATACCGTTTTACGAATGAAAATATGAAAAAGCGAAACAACATTGGTTTGAAACACCAACAAAGTTGTTGGACTTTCCAACAGGTATTGTTTATAAATCAAACAAAGTTGTTGAAAGGTTTAACAAGAATTGTTTGTAAGATCAATAAAGTTGTTGAAAGGCTCAACAAGACTTGTATGTAAAATCAACAACGTTGTTAAATAGTTCAACAAGACTTGTTTGTAAAATAAACAAATTTGTTTGCAAAAGCAACAAAGTTACATCCAACAAGTTTGTTGAAATAATCAACAAGACTTGTTGATTTTGTCAACAAACTTGTTGGTAAACAAATCGATGCCAGCTATTTCTCAAACAACTATTTGGCAGTAGCACTTGTTGATTTTGTCAACAAATTTGTTGGAATCGTCAACAAATTTTCCGCCATAGTGTTACTCACATTGGGTAAATAAAAATTACTTTATTCGTTCCATTTACCTGCAGCAGACGAGCATTCGTCTATGGGCGGATACTTACCCAGATTGGGTGAATAAAAATTGAGATCCAAACCTTAAAATTACTCATTCATTCCATTTACTTGAAGCAGACGAGTATCTGTCTTAGTGTCCTGCTGTCAAGAAGCCGCGTATACAAAAAAATTAGCTGCCTCCAGTCATCCCTCCGTCGTAACAGCAACCTCTAAAAAGTACATATAAACGGAGTCTTTTTTTTTCCTTTTCTGTTTCCTTTTCCTTTTTTCTTTTTTCTTTTTTAATATATATTTTTTTTCTTTTTACCTTAATAAATCAGTTTTTTTTTTTAAAAAAAATTACTTTTATTCGTTCTTGTTTCTCGTAACCATGTAACTGAATAAACGTCTGGGCTTACTTCTTTTGCAATTACACTCTGGTAAACTCATCATTCCATCTCTGAAGTCCCTCCCCTTACTTATCTCTCTTTTAAATCAGCATAGACAGGTGTATAAAGGCCGTGCTTGCAGTGTACTACGCCAGTGCTATAAGTAAGTGTTTTTCGTTTATGGCTTTTCTTTTCTCTAATTATCTCTTCAGACTTAAGCTTCTTGTTTTTACCGTAGTGGCGGCTACTCTGTTTAGAAAAGGAATAGTACGTATCAATTTTGAGTCTTCTTATCATAAACTGACCTAATATTCATTTAGAAAACTTTGGTTATCCCCCTTGTTTTTAGATCATACGTTACTTCCTATACAGAATAATCAATGCTTTCATGTTATGCCATGTACCGTTTACTTTTTAGCTCATTTAAGTAGTAATCCTTCTACATAGCAATTTGTCCTCAAGTATCAAAATATAAATAAATCTTACTTTCATTCTTTTAAATAAAATATATAATCAACTTTTAAAACTGCAAACCAATTTTTTCAAACGAATGAATGTATTTAATGACTCAATATGTATAAAGGAAAGTTTTTTATTTGGCTGAAGGCTGAAAGGGAGAGCTGATTTTAAAATATACACCACCTTAATTATGCATTTAATCCGATTTTTTTTTTTTTTTTTTTTTTTTTTGGGTAAATGGGTAAACGCTTACTATAAATTCGTCTAAACGAGTAAATGGGTAAATTTACCCAATTCGTTTTTTTTGGGTAAATGGGTAAACACTTACTAAAAAATTCGTCCAAACGAGTAAATGGGTAAATTTACCCAATTCGTTTTTTTTGAGTAAATGGGTAAACACTTACTAAAAATTCGTCCAAATGGACGAATCAGGCGAAACATTATAGCCTTGGTGTCATGTTACGCACATGGATGGAATCAGCATTTGACACAGAGTTGAATGGTAATTTTTTTTAAAGATAAATGAATGAAATCCATCCGCATTTAATGCACACCTTACATAGTTGAAGTATTGTTTACTACACTTTTAATTCCAAAAAAAAAAAAAAAAAAATCAAAAGGATTTTTTAAAAACTTGTGAGCTTAAAGAGAGGCCCAAAAAAAAAACAAATCTACGGAGTAAACAGTTTGGGTCATTGTTACTCCCATAGCGTATTACCCGTCACATCATAGCCAAGTATACTATGTCTGCTCCTGACAATTTCACTATTGAAGCTACGCATATCGGATATCTCCGGTTTCACTTAATTCTTTTTTAATTCATGTAAATTGGGATTCAAGAAACTTAAAATGAGAAGATTATAGTTAACGACATGCTTATTCTAGACTTGAGATTGGAATCATTCTGTTTCACTGATCATGGCTTCTTGTTGTTTACGATTATAACTGATCTATAATTTCAATACCTTACGTTGGGTTTTAAACCATTAAGCTGGCTTTATTTTATTCAGTAGCACAGTGTAACCAGCATCGTTTGGCAAATGCATGAATAACAGACATTCTGTATAGTAGGTGATGCCAAACATCAGTTATTCCCGTCTATTATGTGTATGTCAATTTTTTTATATAAGTGGGAGACTGTCGTTTCTTGATAAGGCTATGTCTTTCTGCAATAGTAGTACAAGTTACGGCTGCTAAAATCAAAAGGGCAGTAGTAGCCGACTCGAGGTCAGCTCTCATCTTAATCGACACGAAATCTACCATATTCCCACTAAGTGAGATATTGTTAATCAAACAATCAGAAGGATCAGACATAAAGTCAGTTTCAGACTGAATAGGCATAAAATTCACCTCATCCTCTTAAGGAGTAGCAGGCAAATCATGTCAGTTTTTAATCCTTTTTTCTTCTTCTTCTGATAGTGTAACTGATATGTTGATCGTGTGTTACTTTATATGTCTTAAACTCAATTGGGTTCCTCGGGTTGTTCTATTTGGTGTAAAGACAGTAATATTTAATGGCTGCATTCAACTTAATCATACCCTGGGTTACTAAGTGACAGCCTATAAAATTTAGGCGCTTACTACTCATAATCTTTTATAAGGGCGGCAGATACAAGTGTATCCAACCCTTCCTGTCTATAAAAAAACGTTGCATATACCAATTGAATTTGACGAGATATCAATTGTATGAGTCTGTGTCACTAGGATAACAACAACAACAAAAAAGTTACAAGTCATCAAGGCTTGTAGATGAGTTAGGGTTACGCTTTGAGTTCATGATTTCGGAATTTGATTTGTTCATTGTAAACAGCTGGTTCATGCTGTTTAATGTACTGTAATATAATTTTTGATCCGAATCGGTTCAAGAGTTGATGAATTTTTGTATGATCAGATTTCATTTTACTTGAATTTCGAAATGTTGACTAAGTCGTTCACTATCAATGTGACCTTCTAAAAATATTTATGATATGAGTGAAAACAGTTGGTCTCTTTTTTATTTTATTTTAGGTAACACGCTTTTTTAACTCTTGTGTCAAACTGGCGGACTTTGGTAAGTTTTTGTTTTTTAAAAAAAAAATCGACGGCAATAACGACTTGTTACGATTTATAAAGCAAGGATTGTGCCCAAAGCCTCTAAACAGATTATGATTCCTACCGTAAATAACAATATATAAGACATTTTAATCCAAACATGCATTTGAAAGCCAATAGTTCTTTATGGATATGTAGCAACCTTTTCTGTCAGCGAACCATTAAACTAGAAATGACTAATAGAAGATGGCCACAGGATATGTCCGAACAAGCGATGTTTATTAAAAAATGAGTGACGGAAAAGTAACTAGCGTGAACGCCCGTAGTTTTATTTAAGAAGCTTGCTGAAACTTTAACGAATTTGTGTATGAAAAAAAAAAAAAGAAACGGTTTTGTGCGTATTACTGACTAACTCTTTTTATACATACACATGTTCATTTAATCTTTTTTTTTTTTCTGATACATCACATGCGCTGCACAAAGATACGACAAACACACAGAACTTAAGATTCTCGGATTGTGAGATACCCAAAATAACATGATTGAGCAAAAATGCCTCACGACGTTTTTTTTTTTTTTTTTTTTTATAAAAAAAAAAAAACTACAAATAGAAAATCTTTTTCAAACACCAGGTTAAATATGTATATCAAAAAAAGGTTATTTCTGTACCTGACGTGATTTGTTTATACTGGTGACTTTTTATATATGTGTGATGGCCCATGAAAAACTTTTTTTTTTAAAGTTTGTGAGTGTTTGAGAGTACAAACGGTGTGTATACAAAAGACAGAATTTTCCACTAAATCATTCCTCCCCGCCGACTTTTTTTTTTTTTTTTTCAATCTTGACCGACCCTTCCCTCATCCCAGTCGGACCAATGAATTAGCCGTGGAATTCATTCTACTTTTTTTTTTATATATCTCTTTGTTCTTTCATAAACTGATAAAAGGAAGCATGGTAAAGCATCGAGTCATCATCTTTGCCATTGTGCTACTGACTTTAGTCAGTTATAGTTATGGATCCAGTGGCGATCGTCAACCTGAATACCAACAATGTGTCGCTCAATGCGTTTCCCAAACCGAGTACCACCAATTACCACTGTACTTGCGATTATTACGTTGGACCGTGAAACAAGACTGTGGATACCATTGTATGCATTCCATTACTGAACGTGCCATTCAAAACGAACGCTATATTCATCAGTACCATGGCAAATGGCCCTTTCAACGATTATACGGAATTCAAGAACCCGCTTCTGTGCTATTTTCCATCTTGAACGGGTTGGTCCATTGCCATTACTTTAAGGTGATTCAGACGAAAGCACCGGACAGTTACTTCTTGAAAAAGTTTTATTTGGTGACGTGCATGGTAGGGATGAATGCCTGGTTGTGGAGTACGGTGTTCCATATCCGGGACACTGCATGGACGGAGCGTCTGGATTATTTTAGTGCAGGTTTATATATTCTGTATGGATTATGTGTGGCGGTGGTGCGCATTTTTTATTTACGTGGTGTATGGGCAGTACTTTGGACGGCGATGTGTGTGGTTGCGTATGTGACACATGTGATGTATTTATCCAGTATGGCCCGATTTGATTATGGATATAACATGATGGTGTGTATTGTAGTGGGAACATGTCAAACGAGCCTTTGGTTGATATGGTCAGTGAAGCAATATACACGATGGGGTAATAGTGAAAGAAGACCTTTTGCATGGATGGTGGGAGCTTCAGTGGTGATGGTGACACTTGCCATGTGCCTCGAAATATTTGATTTCCCTCCGATAGGTCAAGTAGTGGATGCACATTCACTTTGGCATGCCGCTACCATCCCCTTGGCACCATTGTTCTATGAATTTTTAGTGTGTGATACCGAGCTAGAGACAGTGTCGAGATCTGCCAAAGACAAGCGATCTTCTTAAATGTGTAACTGAAAACAGGGGGGAAATATGACGTAAATGACAGAAATAAAGATGTGAAACCTGACCCAGAAAAAACTTAAAATGTTGTCATGAGAGAAAAAAAGTGCGCTGTGTGTGGTAGTTAAGTAGAAATCCCGAATCGGAAAACGTAATTGTTTTTTTTTTTTTGGGGGGGGGGGACATACAATAGGTTCCCCGGGCTGAACTGCAAAAGAAAACCCCGAGAACTAGTTTAAACAATTATTGTCCTCTCAGCGTACACAACTATCGAATGGATCTAAATTTTTTTTTTTTTTTTTTTTTGTATAAAAAAGAAAAAGTTTTTATTTTTTTTTATTTTTTTCACTATTTTTTTTTTTCTTTCTCTTTTTTTTTTCTTTTCAACTATAAAAAATCCAGTGCGGATTTTTTTTTTTTTTTTTTTTATTATTATACAGAAAAATGGAGGAACACAAAGATATAAACAAGGTCGATCACTCTACCAAAATAACAACGCAAGAAGAAATGGAAACGCCCCAACCCACCCGGCGACCATTGAATAATCGAACCTTATCTGGATTTAGCACAGACGAAGAATTCCATGATGATAAGTTCTTGATTGACGATGGCATACCCTCTCAGGTACCCTTGGAAGCATTAGCAGGTCCTGCCCTTATTTTGCCTTCCAATGATATCGATGGCCGTACCTTAAACGACGAATTTGATTGGGCTGGTCGTGAAGACGATGACGATGAAATGGATAAAAAAGATGAAGCTGACAAGAAAAAGGGCGGCGCTCTCTCTCGTAGTGGGGTCATCATTTGCTTATCAGAGAACTCGTCTCACATCGCTTGGTTCTGTATCGTCCTGTTTGCATTGATCTTTATCTCCATTGATGTCGCGGTCTTTGTCGTTTACCGCAAAAGAGAGGATACCAGCTTAACTTCATACAGTCTTCAGTTATGGTTTACCTGGATTGCCTTTATGTGGTGTATTGGTTTCATGTCTCAATTATTCGTCGAATTCGTCCCATGGGCCATCAAAAAGAGTGTTAGCTATATTAGACCACAATCGATTGAAGTCCTCCGCATGAGATTATCAGTGAGTTTCATTTTTTTTTTTTTGACTTGCCTAATTGAGCCATACTGACTAACAATTAAAAAAAAAAATTAACTTTTTTTTTTTTTTAGTACTACATGGCTTTGCGTGTATACATTAAACTGTTCATTATTTCAGCATGGGCATGGGGTTCATGGGCCTTTATTCGAGGTCAGTGCCCATTACCCATAATCAATTCCACCGAAAACGGAGATGAATATGCTTCGGAACCGGGTTTTGTCAAAATCTTTTTCAGTGTCTGGGAATCCATTTTCTTTGCAACCTTATTTTTATTTATTGAAAAGTTTATTTTGCAACTCATCGGTAAGCTCTTTTATGATTTTCCCCTTCTGTATTGTTGTACTGACACTTTACTATAGTTACATCTTTCCACAAGTAAGATTGAATGACCGATTCACTCTACATAGAAACACATATATTAATCTCATCTATTATCTTTTTTTTTTTTTTTTTTTTTTTTTTTAGGAAAGCGTATGGTGATCGAATCAAGGTCAATGACAAGGCACTTCGTATCTTGGATCGCTTAAGAAAGATGAAAAAGAAGAACCCTCAAGAGTTCTTATTGAAACGTATCCGTAAGAAGCCCAAGGCCACTGCCACGGGTGGTAATACGCCCAGTGGTACAACAACAAACACACCCAGTCGATCCCATTCAATGGATGAGGGCCAATATTTCCATGGCAATCATCATGGTAACACCAATGTCGTCAATAAATCCATCATGTCCAATGGTGGTGCCAATGGTTATGAATCCAAATCCAATGTCAAATTTCCACCCAGCCAAAATATGGATACCTTAATTGCGATTCCTCCCTTGGAAGATCGCCAGAACCGCTCGGACGATGAAAAACATGACTTTCATGAGATGACTCGCAGTCGTGAAAATAGTGCGGAAGATGTCATGAACAAGTTGCCTGCTGAAAGTCAAGACGAAGGTATCAAGAAGAAGGGTATCATGACCAAGTTTGCACACAAGATGAAGCGTCACGGTGGACATCCATCTAGCCAAGAAGAAGATGACAGCAAATCAAGATCCATGTCCCCTCCCTCCTTGAACAGAGAAAACACATGGTTTTCTCGAAATAGCCAAGACGAAAAGGGGTTCCTTGGTGCAACCCGTGATTTTGGACTCAGTACAACGGCTATTCCTAGAAAGTTGATTAAGGGTGGTTATAATAAATTTGTATCACAAGGTGGGATTAAGAATCACCCGAATAACCTGCAAGGACAAAACTCGACACAACAAGCCAAGAATCTGGCCAAAAAGATCTACCATAATTTATTGGGACCTGATAGTAATCGGGATTACATTGTGGAAGCTGATCTGTACCCATTTTTCAACACGACGTTGGAAGCCAAGAATGCGTTTGAGCTGTTTGATACGGATGGTAATGGTGACATTAGTAGAAGAGAATTAAGGTCTGGCTGTATTCGAATTTACCGTGAACGTAAGAATCTGACACGATCTATGCGAGATCTATCGCAAGCCACGGGTAAATTGGATGTCATTGGCATGATTGTCTTTATCATTATCTGGGTCGTCATTGTCTGTGCTGCATTTGGTGTCAATGTCGGTACGGATCTGATGCCTCTCTGGAGTGGTTTTATTGCCGCTAGTTTTGTATTTGGTACCTCTGCCAAGGATGCCTTTGAGGCTATTATCTTTGTATTTGTTACAGTAAGTGTTTTTTTTTTTTAATTAATTAACAATAAGGATGCTAAAATTTTTTTTTTTCTCACTCAGCATCCTTTCGATTCTGGAGATCGTGTGTTTATACAAGGTGAAAATTGGGTTGTACACAACGTCGGACTCTTGGTTACCACCTTCCTGTAAGTTTTTTTATTTATTTTTATTTATTTATTACATGTATGACACATATACTAACTTGATATGTTCAATACAGTAAATGGGATGGATCGATCGTCTACGCAAAGAATTCGGTACTCACCACACAATACATCATCAACGTCAGAAGATCCGGCAGAACAAGCGAGGGAGTTGGTAATATATTAGACCTTTAAAAAAAAAAAAAAACATTTAAAAAAAAACATATCAACTTACAACACACACACACACCCTCTACCGTAGATCTCCAAATCGCCTTCACCACTCCCGCTTGGAAGATCAGAAAACTCACCGAACATATGGTCCAATGGTGCAATCAATACCCCAAACTGTATACCACGAATGCGACTTCAGCCAATGTGATTAGTTTCCAAAACCAAAATGCCATTAATATTTCGTTTTACTTTGAACATACCCAAAATTGGCAAGATGCCGGTGGTCGCTGGCTTCGACACAATAATTTTATGATGGAGATCAAGGATGAAACCGAACGACTTGAGATCTCTTACACTTTACCCTCTCAACCTTATACCGGTGGACCTTCTCCACCCAATGATGCCCCCGCCGAAAGCTATAATCAGGGCGACAAGGCCGCTTATGGACTGGAAGGGATGAATAAACGAAGACCGTTTACGGCGGAAGATGATGACGTTGATTGCAGAACATCACCTCATGGAGCTGAAACAGGTCATGGTAGTGCTGGAAATGCTCCCTCGGATAATTCAGGGGCTGCCGCAGGGGCCGCCGCCACAATGATGTTTGCGGAATCCGCCATGTAGAAACTCTCTCTCTCTTCACACGGACTCACACTCGATGTGTTTCGAGCCTGTGATAAAATAATATTTATGATATCTAGACCGTCTTTCTTATAATAAAAAATCTACCTTCTTTTTTGCTTATAATTATATTTTTTCTAAAAAAAAAATAAAGATATTTTTCTTTTGGTGTTTCGAAATGAAATAATAATAAAAAAAAAAAAGAGAGTTCAATCCGCAGGTTACAGAAGCTCCTTGAATTACAGTTTTGACTGCTTCTCTTGTTTCATTTGTTTTTTTTTTTTACCTGTTTATTATTTTAATAGTTATCTTACTCTTCTCTCCCTTCTCTTTTCTATCTCTCTCTCTCTCTTTTTTTTTTCTTACAAATCAAAAGAAATGGATGCTTCATCTGAATACCCCACAGCACCCACTATCAATCTATACAACATTCATTTACAACAGCAACAACAGCATCATCATCACCACCATCAACAGCAGCAGCAGCAACAGCAACAGCAACAGCAGCAACATCAGCATCAAATACGTCATCCAGGACACTCGTTACACTCCTACGCACCACAACAAGACCCATTCTGTGATCCCAGTCCATCACCTTCTTCTTCCGGTGCAGGAATGATGTGGGAATCACATCATAAAAAGAGAGAGAGTAAGGCATCGTATATTTTATCACCTCCCCAAGATGAGTTTCGGCCACAACCTAATTATGGATCGCAAGCATCAATGTATTATGATAAATCTTCTTCTTCAGCAGCAGCAGCAGCGGCGGCGGCGAGTCATGGATTCTATCAACATACATCTACACATCATGGATTGAAAACAGAAGATACAGCTTCTTTGTTTATTGACAGTAGTATGAATCGACAACCTATCATGACGATGCATACCCGAGAAGAAAACATCAGTCAATCTTCATCGGCTCCCTCTACTTGCTCCAACTTGGACAAAAAGAGTCGCGATACGGAGAAATCCACCTGTGCTAAAGAAGCGCTTAAAAAGAGGTAAAAAAAAAAAAAAAATTGGGTGTGTGTGAGGTGCACGAGCACAACAAAGGGGGTTTTGAAAAGAAAACCAAGTGTTTCATGTTTTAACCTTAAATGACATTTTTTATTATTATTTTATTTTGTTAGTGGCGTGCTTCAACATAATCATCGACCTGTGGTAGAGAAAAAAAGATACCGTCGAGAATCACATAATGCTGGTACTGTAGCTTGCTGTTTTTTTTTAAAAAAAAAAAAAAGGATGAAAATTCTGACATGTTTTTTAAATATGTAGTTGAAAGAAGAAGACGAAACAATATCAATGATAATATCAAGAGTTTAGGCCAACTGTTACCTGACAATATGTGTGAAGGCAAATTAAACAAGGGCTCAATATTAAAAGGATCGGTCGTCTATATCCACATGTTGAACGAACAGTTATCACAATACAAGGAAAGGCTTGAAACCCTTCAATATGAAGCTGCTCATATATCCACCACCAACACCAACACCACCACCACCACCTCTATTTAATTCTCCCCCTTTTTTGCATAAATATATTCTTGGCCCTGTTATTAGAAAATCATGTATCACAAATAAACTTTTTTCATAAAAAAACCCCAACTCTTTCTTTTTGATGATGTGTTAAATAAGGCAGTAAAGTAAAATCGGTCATGATTAAAATATCTCTCTCTTTTTTACCGCACATTGAACGCGGCATTTAATACATGAATATGTATAAATCGGATGCACAAAACCATACTAAATAAATCCAAGTCTTTCCATTGGTTAATTTAAAGTCTGGAACGATCCCGTATTTTTAAACATGTCAACCATGCTAATGACGTCTTTTTTTAAGCTATCTAATTTTTTCTTTTTCTTCCCAAGACTATAATTTTTAGATCGCCCAAACAATACACTGCTTAAAAACAGAGAGAGAGAGAGTCCCCCCTTTTTGATTCATAAATTAGACTCATCTTGAACAACGGTCTGGACAAAATATATGAGACTTGTTTTGACGTAATTTTATTTTTATATATTTCCCCCCCTTTCTATATTAGATAAAATGATGAGATCACACATCAAAGTTTTTCTTTTTCTTGATTTATCAATGAACTAACCCATTTTTTCTTTAAATAAAGCATTCAAGGGAAACCCTCACCCCCCCAAATGCTCTTTCGTGCGTGAGCATGACGTATGTTTTTCAATTTACTTTGCGAGTTTCAACTTTTATGTTTGTGGGAACAACCCAAAACCTTATTCGATTATTTAAAAGATCGACCTCTCTCTTTCTCTTTCTCTTTCTCTCTCTTAAAAAAAAAAAGATCGGTGATGTTTCACAAAGGCGATCTGTCACGCGGTAAAGATGTGTATAACAAAGTCTCGTGTTTAAGAATAATAAAAAAAAAAAAGTTTATTGTTGTGAGAAATAAGGGGTACATTATCAAGGTGTTAGTTTATAATTTGGGTTTAGAAGCCTCTAAAGCTTGCTTTAATGCTTGTCGGACACCTAAATCCAACATGATTTCTACATATAAAAAAAAAAAAGGGTGGGGGGAGAACCTGTTTAGTCAATGTACATACATTTTGTATATATTAAACTCACCTTCAGAACCACCAGGAATGGCATAAGCTATAACATAAACAAAAAAATAAGTGTCTTTTTTCCTTTCCTGCATAACATTTGATCTATCCAGCTTTTTTACCTCTGACTTCTCTGTATAAGCGTTCCACCTTTTCACCTTGTCCACCACGCGTATAGGCCAACCCACCAAAGATCTGAGCTGCTTCACGAGCACAATATTCAAAGGTTTGTGTCGCTTGTGCCTTTAGCAGGGCAACAGGTCCTGCCAAAAGGTTGGGTGTCACCTTTTCAGGTTGGGTATGCAATTGATATAAAACACTTTCTAACCAGGCATGTGTGGATTCACATTGACGGATCATGTGACCAAATTTATTTCGAATCACAGCGTGTTCAATCAAACTCACACCAAATGTCTTTCTCTTCATGGAGTACTAAATTATCAAATTGTAAGCCATTTTTTTTTTTTTTTTTCTTTACACTTTATTCATCCATCCGTATAAAAAAAAATTTTTACCTTTAATGATTCTTCAATACAGACACGCGCGAGACGGTTGGCTTGCATAATAATACCGATACGCTCATGATTGAAGTTGTGCATGATGTACTTGAAACCTTGGTTGACCTTACCAATGATATGACCCTTGGGTACTTTGACCTGAGTATTTTAAAAAGAAATCACAATAAATATACATGTATAACAGGAAAGAAAAAAACATAAAAGAGGGCCCACTTACGTCTTCAAAGGTGATATAACTCGTGCCAGATCCCCACATGCCTTGAGTATCCATGTAACGAGCAGTCTAATTCAAGTAAAACATATTTAGTCTATTTGGGTAAGGGGGGTAGGAAGTACTTTTTTTTTTTTTAAAAAAAAAAACACTTACGACACCGGGCATGGTACGTTCGACCAACAAGAGTGAGACACCACCCATGCCTTGACCACCGGTACGACAAGCAACGGTATAATAATCTGCATAAGCACCTTGGGTGATCCACTTCTTTTCACCGTTCAAGATGTAATGATCTCCCATATCCACAGCGGTTGTCTTTAAATTAGCGACATCGGATCCAGCGGAAGGTTCAGTGATAGCCAAAGCAATAAACTTATCACCGGCAAGACAGCCAGGTACGACCTTTTCTCTGATTTCCTTGGTCGCGAAATTTAACACGGGAGGTAAACCAATGCCTAAACCACCCGAGAGAGCCCAGATAAAGCCACCAGAACCACAACGAGCGATTTCGTCAACACAGACAAATTCATGAAAGATATCAAAATCTTCAGGCTTGATACCGCCTGGTAAAGGGTAGGTCATGAGAGAGGCGTTCTTGGGGTTTTTAGCAGCACCAGAAACTGCGTTCAAGAGACCCATTTCGGCAGCACGTTTTACGATGGCACGAGGAATGGCTTTGGCTTCACTCCATTCATGACAGAAAGGCATGACTTCCTTATCAACAAATTCACGGATTTCTTTACGGAGTTTGATATGAGATTCATTATAATAAGGGCTGACATAATAAACAATGGTTAAAAGACATTTTTTTTTTTTTTTTTTTTTGGCCCTTTACCTGTTCCACTCTTGATACCAAGTTGGATCGCCATAGGGAATACCTTCACCAAATTTGGCATGATCTCCAGATACAAGTTGATGAATATCGACGGATTGTTTGACAGGTACGACTTTGTCCTGAACAACAATAGGCTTAGGTTGCTCTTTTTCTTGTGGGGTACCAATGACACCGATTTGCATAGGAAGACCTACACGTTGCATAATTGCTTCATTGTGAAAGGTTTTGAATTCCTTGGAAGCATCTTTGCCTGCTTTTTTCAAAAGCACCTTCTTTCCACCGGGATGTTCATTAATAAACTTGGTTAAATCAAAAACTTTTCCATTCACAATAATCCAAATATCTTGGGCTGTATTATGTTGAGCTACTTCTTCCACAGTGTAAGACTTCATTTTTTCTTTTCTTTTCTGATAAAATAAAAAAAGAGATAAGAGAGAAAATATAAAAAAAGAAAATGTCAGATTTTTTATAAAAAGCGCAGGGATTGATTGTAATTCGGATGAGTAACGAATTGAACTAAAACTTTCAATGCCCGTCTCAGCTTTATTTTTTTTTGTGGAGAGAAAATTACCCAATCCATGTGAATTCCTTGGGTTGGGCCCAATCGTAAATCTTTTATGACTAAACAGAAAGCGGGGGTGAGATGCTGTTTTTTAATATTAGTATATGTGCCACACCTTCTTTTTTTTTTTTTTTTACATCTGATAACACAAACTGACAGTTACTTGGAAAGATCGTACAAACATTTACATAAGCAACTATATGTCCCCCCGCCGTTAAATTTATTTATCCTTATTGTACACACACAACAATAAATTTGATCCAAATTCACAGTCATTAAAAAACAGCGTTTTCCTTCACTCATGATAAGAAATGCTGTTAAAAAGACACACACACACACACAACTGTCATGTTTTATCTAAAATTGTTAAACATGCATTTTTTTTTATTATTCATTTAATTTGCTAAAAGTTTTTGGAGGGTGCCATCTTCATTTGCTTTGGCTAAATCATCAGAACCACCGAGATGCTTTTGTGAAACAAAGACATTTGGAACTGTACGTTGACCGGTTTTCTCCAAAAGATAATCTTGAATAGCAGCGCCTTGGGCTAAATAAAATCACAGTCGTAAGTCAAAAAAAGGGGGTGTCCTGAATAATCAGTAAAATACTTACGGTCTAAATCTAATTCAATGGAGGCAAATTGAATATCCAACGATGTTAAAAGTGCCTTTGCCTTTTTACAGTAAGCTTTTTGGGGGGAAGTGATAAAAGATTTGAGTTATAAATGAATAGGTTCTTTTTTTTTTTTTTTTGAATCACTTACGACAATAACTCTTTGAAAAGACAACAACGCGGTTTTGTTGAATAGTTTCTTCTACAATTTGTTGAGGAGTGGACATTTTATTTTGTTTTTTATAAATGGAATATGAGATATAGGATAACAACAATAACAACAATAATAAAAAAAAGGCGTATTTTTATATAAAAAAGAAATTTTGCAATCAAAAGTGAAAATGGTGTCACATTTCACTAATTATTAATCGTAGTAGTCTTTCATCATGGGTGACTAAGCTTTTCCAAGTTCATTGCCTGTTTATGCATGACGAACCTGTTTTTAAAACAGCAGTTAAAATCACACACTCCACCCTTTTTTTTTTTTTGAAATTATAAATCCGGTCCTTCACAACCTTTTTTTTTTTTTTTTTTTTTGGCCCCCTCTCATTGTTTATGGATTCCCTTTAGTCATCCAGGTTACACAACGTATGCATGTTTTCCAGAGAGCCAATAAACACACTTGTTTGTCATCACTTCAAGGTCAGTGCACGTTATTTTATGTAATCAACAATCATGCGTCAGAGTAGGGAGGGGTTATTATTGTTATTAATACAAGTATTTCTAAAGTGTGACATATATATATATATACAAAATGTTAGACAGTATTGCAGTCAAGCGAGTCTAACTCTGGTAAAGAATCCATCAGGTTTTTCTGAGCATAAACATAGTGTAGATTCATAAAGGATTTTCGTACTTCTATTTCTGCACTAACAGTATCGATAACTACTTCAGACAGCTCTTCAAAGGAAGAGAATATTTCATAGACATCGTCACGAAACATGACCCCTAATCGACCACCCCACTTGCCCATAGGTAAAGAGGTATAATTCGAATTAAAGTGGTCCTTTTTGTGATTCTTGGTGTTGTCTGAATCGGTTTCTTTAGGTACTTGTGAAGACCTGTTGAAGACTTGCGATACCATCTCGCCTAAATTTCTACCTAAACGTGGGTTTAACTTGCGTTCTTCCATATCCATCATCACTACAAGTGAGTCAAATGTTTATATAATCTTTTTAGTAACTATAGGGATGACATCGATCTATTTTTTTTTTCACCTTTTGAGTTCATCCGATAGGTGACTGGACCCGCACGTGGATTACCATAAATCCTTAAATTTAATTCATAAAATTCCACAAACCCACCGGGTTTACAAATACGATGACATTCCCTGATCAAGCGAGCATAATCCTCATCATTGTAATTGAACATCATGAAGCGACTGTAAACTAAATCAAAAGATTCATTGGGTATTTCAGTCAGGGTTCGTAATACATCATGATAGCAAAGAAGATATTTAAAGTTTTTGGGAACCTTGCGATGATCACGAATTGGACTGCCGGATTTATCGTCCATGCCTACCACTAACCATTTTGGAAAGAGTTTAGCAATATCCACACACCAGTCACCATTTCCACACCTTTTTTTTTTATATATATTTAATTGAAAGTTTTGCTTTGTATCATTCTTTTTATACATATATATATAAACGTACCCAATGTGTAGGACTTGCTTTTTTCCGTTAAGGTCAAGAGGACTTTGAAAGGGTCTATAGAATACCCCACAAATTCATGCAAAAAAGATAATTTTTTTTTTTTGGTTATTTTTTTTTTTTTGTATATAATTATTTTTTGACGTGTACAAAAAAAAAAAAGGCTTACCCGTTTAAAGCAAGACGCACAAGAGAATTACAGATAGCAGATCTTAACACGAGATTATCTGAATAATCCGATTCATCTTGTTCTATGATATCATCATAATCCTCTAAATCGCCATCTTCCTTTATCTTCTTATAACAAGGAATGGCGGTAGGTTCTTCCAGCAAAATGGAGCTTGTTTTACTGGTTCTTCGACTACTTAACAGACTTGATTCTGTAGGTTCATTTTCTCTTTGACTCGAAACCGAGGTATCTGTGCTCGATCTTCTGCATTCACT